TCGTACAGGGCGACCAAGGCAGATTCAGTACCGTACCCAGGTCTGAAGCCGGACTGCAATGGGTCCAGATAATCAGTTTCATCCAAGAGTGCTTGGAGTTGTCCCGCCACCACCTGCTCTAACACCTTGCCCAGAAACGGGATGTTGGCCACTGGTCTATAATTAGTGGCCATCTCTGGATCCAGTGACGCCTTCTTCAGGACCGGTCGGACTACCACCTCCTTTAAAGGGGCAGGTACCCGACCCTCCGTCAGAGAAACATTAACCACTTCCAAGATCCAGGTTCCAATCCCGTGCTTGGAATCATTTATTAACCAAGACAGGCAGGGGTCCAAAAGGCAAGTAGTTGGACGTACTTGCCCAAGCACCTTGTCCACATCATCGGGCCGCAGTAACTGAAATTCATCCAATAAATCTGGACCAGACTGCAGCGTTGGTGTCTCCTTTGAAACCTCTGAATCAGTAGTGGTATCCAGCTCTTGACGAATCTGAGCGATTTTCTCCCTAAAATGCCTGGCAAAGTCGTCACAGTGGGCCTTTGAGGGTGGGATCAAATCTTCTTTTGGACCTGGGCGAACCAGGCCTTGCACCACTCTGTTGTAATGCTAACTCTGTTGCAAACACAGTATCCAGCGACAACTGAATCTCTACACTAATTTTCTGAAATCTTCATCTAGTCCTTCCAGACATACAAGCTCTGTTTCCCATTTGAACAGTAGAATAGCAGATAAATATCCAACAACCATTTCTTTTCTGAGAGGAAATTACTATCTTTCAGTAGGCTTTGAATTGAACCCCTTAGCTGTTATGTACAGTTACAGATTAAGAAACCTGTCATCTTACGTGCAACAGGAGATGCTATTTTTTGCACATGATTGCATACCTAAGTTAATTTGTAGTGTACAGTAGTTGATACATTTGTCATAAAACCGTGTCTGCTATATTTTCTGAAGGATACCTATGACATTGAAGAAAGAAAATAAGGACATGTTCTCAGGTTATGGCTAGATGGCAGTAAGAGTGAAGGGATGGGGCTCCATGCAGTAAGCTAGAACAGTGAAGAAACAGCCAAGTGTTGCTTTGGTCCCAGCTGTTTTCCTGACTCATGATGGATATACAGAAATAACAATCATGTTCTGGTTAAACCTGGCATTATGTTTCTTCTATGTTGGTGAATTGTCTCTTTCAGGATGGTGAAGACTTGATGGATGAGAGTGTTTTGAAATTCTATACTCAACAGTGGGAAGATTATAGGTTTTCAAGCAAAGTTCTGAATGGGATTTGTGCCTACCTCAATCGACACTGGGTTCGACGTGAGTGTGATGAAGGCCGCAAAGGAATATATGAAATCTACTCAGTAAGTGGTATTTCATTTTCAGTGGGAATATGCAGTGGTTTTGTTTTTAAACAGGAGAGAGAAAGAATCTTTATATTTCTTTTATTTCTGTTATTTTGTTTAAATTCCTTCTGTAAGTCAGGTATGGTTTATAGAGGTTTTATTGTTAGTGCTGCCCGTCACTCTAAAATCAGCTATAGACTTGAGGGCTACAAATGTTGCTTGTTTTCTCAGCCTCACAGTACTGCAATTTATACTTTGCATATCAGTCGGTGTTCTTATTGATCACACTGCATGCATTTCTGTTTATCATCAGGCTGCATTCAAAGGACCCTGTTCCTGAAATGGTACTATAGAATGCAAGTCCCTCCCCCTTTTCCCCTGCCCCATACAGAAAATGTGCAAACATTTTCACATGAGTAACAACCAGATGGAGAGCTGTTCACCCTAGATTCTGTCAGATGGTTTTGAAGGGGCCTTCTCTACCTTAGTATTTCAGCACTGACCACTGATAAATATATAAATATTCCCTTTTGTGAGAAACTTTTTGTGACTATGGGTGTCATTCCTTTTTCTGTAGTGTTTAATTTTATGTAGGACTGGGTATTTAATCAGTCAAATAATGGACAATATTGATGCATCAATCTTACAGAATAGCAGAGATATTTTAATCATCTGTAGATCTTGTACATCTGCTAACTGCAAAAATTCTTTCTTGTCTGGGATCCACATATATTGATGAGACCCATGTACTTTGGCTGGCCTGGAAGCCAACCAAACAGTTGTGTTTGCTAGAGCCTATCTTTCTCCAGGAGGTGCAGATTTGTTTTGCTGACCATAGGTAATTCTAATGCTCACCTTCTCTGCTTTCTTTTGTAATTGGAGCAGCTACTGTTTGTTTTTGCTTTTTAAGCAGAGCAAAGCTATGAATTAAGGTTTGGCTAATAAAAGCTTTGTTGCTTCTTTTAGCTTGGCATGTAGACTTTTAAATTGGGTTTAATTTTAATTTAATATATGGAATGTGCTGGATGCCCTTGTTCTCAATAGAAATAAAATTTAATATTAATATAGTATTAATTTAATCAGCTATAATCCAATCATAGCAAAAGGCTTTTGTTGCACTATAAAAGTTAACAGATTATGTTAAAGTATAACAGAGGAACAGTAATGGTGAACTTTTTTACCTGAGAAAGTTACCTGCCCACAACTTACCTTATCCTGCAATATGCATCCACAGTAGAGTGGTAGGTGTGCTCTAGGGCGGGGCAGACTGATCGGAACATTGGTATATTTTTTTATTATTATTTGGGTAATCTGCAGTATCTTGTCAAAGGTTATTTGCTTTCATTGTTTGACAAAAGCGATAAATAAAAGCTCCCCCACCCAAAAAAAGGTTTCTGAATTGAAGAAAACTTGAGGGCATTTAGATTTAGATTTTTGTGTGTAAAGAATGTAAGCTCATTTCTAGTGCTAATAAGGTATTTCTTGGTTTGAGCATGTGTCCAGAGCCACTCAAATTGTCAAAAAGCACTAAGTAGGCACTTCCTTTGGTTGAATAAGTATGCATAGGACTACCTTGTGAGTATGTGACCTACCCCCACCATCACTATTTTGCATGTGGCTTCAGTAGATGGATGCATAGGTTCTAGGGAAAATGCAGCATAAATTCCAGGTAGCATGAAGGCTTGCCTACATTAGTGTAGGACATGTTTTTGATATGCACAAGGCAAAAATGAGACTTAATAAATCTTCGCAGTGGCCTCCATGAACAGTGTCCTCATTAGCTTGCAAGAGTTCCATGGCAGACTCAGGGATTCCTCAGAAAAAAGCTAGTTTGGAAAATATTTCCCAAATGAAAAGAATTCAATGCATATGATAGTGCAGTTTTCATAATTATTCTTGTATTTGTTGTTATTTCTTTTGTAGCTCGCACTTGTGACCTGGAGAGACTGCTTGTTCAGGCCATTAAATAAGCAGGTATGTATTTGCATTGATTGCTGTCTAATGATTACACTAATGTTAGAATTGAATATAAGATTCATGTCAAATATATTTTCCTTCCATTTAACAAGTAAAAGTATGAACATTCCAAATAACATCTGCCTGGGGAGCATACCTGTAGAAAAGGGGGTCTCCAACCTTTCTAGACCCATGGGCCTATTTGACATTTTGAAAAATTTGCTATGCACCTCCTCAAATAGGCTGCTGGAGGGTGGGGGTTGCCAGTCATGAAAATTGTCAGGCATGTTCCCCCACTTGGTGTCTGGTGCGTGTAAGAGTGTGTACTCTGTGCCTGTGCTGTCTACTCTGGCTTCTCTGTCTCTCAGTCTCTCCCTTCCTCTTTCATCTGTTTTCTCTCTAGCTCCCCTCCCCTCCCCTCCCCATCTTGGCACTTCCTTTATTCTCTTTTCCCCCTCTTTCATTCATTTTCTGAATGTGCATGTGTGTGTGTGGGGGGGTCCTCTTTCATTGGCTTTCCTGCCCCCATGCAATTGAATGAAGCATTTCTTTGTTCCTTTAATTTCCCTACTTCCAGATTTTTAAAAAATACAAATCAGATTAATTTGTGTGAGATCATTTGCATTATAAACTTTTAAACTCATATTGGGATTTTCTGATGCCATAGGGAGAGCTAATTTAGCATGTTTATTTACTTCTATCTAGTAAAGAACAAAGTTAAAAAAGGTAATCAAGTTTTTTGTCCAAATACACCATAAGTATTTGACCTGAGATAAGGGGGATGAGAATAAAACACACTTGATAATAATAAAAATTTTAAAACTTATGGCATCTACTTGTTCAACATTGTTTATTTTAAAGCAAAGATACAGATAAATGTTGGCACACTAATTAATTTTTATAACCTGAAGAACTGTGCATGACATGCTAATAACCACTCATCTGTTGCAACACAGTTCTGATTTCTTCTATTAAGGGTTGATGGGGCATCTTCAGTTTCACTGTCACTTCTTTGTTGTTGTTGTTGTTGTTGTTAGTCCCGAAGTCATGTCCAACCCATCAAGACCCCATGGACAACATTCCTCCAGGCCTTCCTGTCCTCCACCATCCCCTGGAGTCCACTTAAGCTCAAGCCAACTGCTTCAGTGACTCCATCTAGCCACCTCATTCTTTGCTGTCCCCTTCTTCTTTTGCCATCTGTTGTTCCCAGCATTAGGTTCTTCTCTAGGGAGTCCTTCCTTCTCATTAGGTGGCCAAAGTATTTGAGTTTCATCTTCAGGATCTGGCCTTCTAAAGAGCAGTCAGGGTTGATCTCCTCTAGGACTGACCGTTTTGATCGCCTTGTAGTCCAAGGGACTCGCAGGAGTCTCCTCCAGCACCACAATTCAAAGGCCTCAATCCTTTGGCGCTCAGCCTTCCTTATGGTCCAGCTTTCACAGCCATACATTGCAACTGGGAAAACTGTAGCCTTGACTATACACACTTTTGTTGGCAGGGTAACGTCTCTGCTTTTTAGTCTGCTGTCTAGATTTGCCATAGCTTTCCTCCCCAGGAGCAAGTGTCTTTTAATTTCTTGGCTGCAGTCCCCAACTGCGGTGATCTTGGAGCCAAGGAAAATAAAATCTGTCACTACCTCCATTTCTTCCCCATCTGTTTGCCAGGAAGTGAGAGGACTGGATGCCATGATCTTAGTTTTCTTAATGTTGAGTTTCAAGCCAACTTTTGCACTTGCCTCCTTCACCACATTAGAGAGCATCAAGAGGCTCTTTAGTTCCTCTTCACTTTCTGCCATTAGAGTGGTATCATCTGCATATCTGAGGTTGTTGATATTTCTCCCAGCAATCTTAATTCCAACTGGTGATTCATCTAGCCCCACCTTTCTTATGATGTGCTCTGCATATAAGTTAAATAGGCAGGGCGACAGTATACAGCCTTGCCAAACTCCTTTCTCAATTTTGAACCAGTCAGTGGTTCCGTGTTCAGTTCTCACTGTTGCTTCTTGACCCACATATAGGTTCTCAAGAGACCAATAAGATGGTCTGCTACTCCCATCTCTTTAAGAACCTGCCACAATTTGTTGTGATCCACAGAATCAAAGGCTTTAGCATAGTCAATGAAGCAGAAGTAGATGTTTTTCTGGAATTCCCTAGCTTTCTCCATGGTCCACTGTATGTTGGCAATTTGATCTCTAGTTCCTCTGACTCTTCGAAATCCTGCCTGTACTTCTCGTAGTTCTCAGTCCACATACTGCTGGAGCCTAGCTTGTAGGATTTTGAGCATCACTTTGCTAGCATGTGAAATGAGTGCAATGGTGCGGTAGTTTGAACATTCTTTGTCATTCCCCTTCTTTGGGATGGGAATGTAAACTGACCTTTTCCAATCCTGTGGGGACTGTTGAGTTTTCCAAATTTGCTGGCATATTGAGTGTAGCACTTTCACTGCATTGTCTTTTAAGATTTTGAATAGCTCAGCTGGAATACTGTCACCTCCACTAGCTTTGTTGTTGATCAGACTTCCTAAGGCCCATTTGACTTCACATTCCAGGATGTCTGGCTCAAGGTCAGTGACCACCCCATCGTGGTTATCAGGGTCATTAAGCTCTTTCTTGTATAGTTACCTCTGTGTAATCTTGCCACCACTTCTTAATCTCTTCTGCCTCTGTTAAGTCCCTGCCATTTTAGTCCTTTATCATGCCCATCCTTGCATGAAACGTTCCCTTCATATCTCCAATTTTCTTGAAGAGATCTCTAGTCTTCCCCATTGCACTGTTTTCCTCTATTTCTTTGCACTGTTCATTGATGAAGGCATTCTTATCTCTTCTAGCTATTCTCTGCAATTCTGCGTTCAATTGGGTGTATATTTCTCTTTCTCCCTTGCCTTTCGCTTCCCTTCTTTCCTCAGCTATTTGTAAGGCTTCGTCAGACAGCCATTTTGCTTTCTCGCATTTCTTTTTCTTTGGGATGGCTTTATTTGCTACCTCTTGTACAATGTTGCAAACCTCCGTCCATAGTTCTTCAGGCACTCTGTCTATCAGATCTAATTCCTCAAATCTATTTGTTTCCTCTACTGTATATTCATCAGGGATATGATTTAGGTCATACCTGAGTGGCCTAGTGCTTTCCCCTACTTTCTTCAATTTAAGCCTAAATTTTGCAACAAGAAGCTCATGATCTGAGCCACAGTCAGTTCCTGGTCTTGTTTTTACTGACTGTATAGAGCTGCTTCATCTTTGGCTGCAGAACACATAGTCAATCTGATTTCTGTGTTGACCGTCTGGTGATGTCCATGTGTAGAGTC